ACTGTTATGCGACGTGTGTGTGTGTTTTTTTCAAATGGGGAAAAAGAGTGTTTGGATGTATGGTGAACAGAGAATGGGGTGGTTCCAGGTATATGGTGTCCTACAGAAGGTAGTGAGGAATCAAGTGGGACGAGGACACTATGGGCTTTTTACAGCATGAGTGTAGTGGAGGTGCTAAGGTAAGTGCAGAAAGCAACAAAAGTAGAGGAATAAAGGAGCTAGGTGACCTTGAAGGTGAATACTGAGGCATACATTTGGTGCAGAAAGTCACAGGCAGCTGATGAAGGGTTTTTAAGAAGGGCTGATGATTATGAAAATAGCAAGTACAATGGATGATTGACTTGCATTAGTGTTTTAACAGTCTGAAGAGGGCTTGGGCAAGATTAGTTTCTGGCAGGCCAGAAAAGAGGCGGTTGCGGTACCTGAGAGGAGGGACAATTAGTTTCTGTAGGGTTTGGTGGCAGGGATAGATAGGAGCACATGTTTTCCTAGGAAATATCTCCTAAAACAATAAGGCTTTGTCTACACTGGCACCCTTTTCCGTAAAAGGGATGCTAATGAGACACTTCGGAATTGCAAATTCAAGTAGAATATAAACAGAATATAAACTTTCAAGTAGGAATAAGGGATCTTCCGGAAAAGGGCTTATTTTCCGCAAGATCCCGTCTAGACTGGCGCTTTTCTCCGGCAAAACCCCGAGCTGGAAAAAAGTGGCAGCCATGTTCATGCAAATGCCGCGGGAGATATTTAAATCCCCCGCGGAATTTGCAATTCCGAAGTGTTTCATTAGCATCCCTTTTACGGAAAAGGGTGCCAGTGTAGACACAGCCTAACTGTTTTCTAGAAGGAGCTTGAATGGGAAAGAGACAGAGAGGATAGTGGAATTTCCAACAATAATGACAAGACAAGGGAGTATTGGAGATGAAAAGTAATTTTTTAAAAGTTCTGTTAGGTAGTATGTGACTAGGGACTACCCAGAATCAGAAGTTAAAGAGGCTGTTTCAGATTTGGAATCTGAACAGAAGTAGATTAGGGATGGAGAGAATATACCTTTCGGCTGGTTTCATGAGCTGTCTTCCTTTTGAGAGGCTGAATGAATTCTCAGCTCTGTTATCCTGTGTGTCTCCCTTTGCTGCTGCGCTTTGTGTATATTGCTAGAGGTGGATGTTAGTCAGGCATTTGTTGGGCCTTGAATTGGTGGGGAGAAAAAGTAGTGCAATCTCCTCACACAGCTAGCTCTGCCTATTGGGGACACCAAAATAACATCTGAGTGCAATTCAGTTTTGCAGATAATAATAATATAATCACATGGGAACTGATGACATGGAGCTGAGATTCTGGAGAATAAGATACAGCCCCCCTTTGGCTATGTCTACACAATCACTTACTGTGGCATAACTTATGTTGTCCAAGCGATGTAAGTTGCACCGACCTAATCACCAGTGTAGGACTGGGTTAGTTAAGCTGACAGGAGAGCTCTCTCCCATCTGCTTAGAGTGGTCGCATTGAGAGCTTATAGCAGTACACCTGCATTACTGCAGCTCCACACTGTACGCTCTCTGGTGCAGTTGTAGCCTAAAAAAGACTGGCTTGCCAGCCAGGCTGGTGTGACGTATCTGATTTCAAGCACTGATAGTTGAAAATATTATTCCGTGAAAAGCTGGAAAGTTCAAGAGCATTTTTTTAACAAACTAGACCATTCTGTAGATTTTTTCCATATAACTAAACAGGTTGACATATTTGTACATTGTCCAGGTTCTAATCTTAGGCTTTTTTACTTTGAATCTGACCCAAGTTAAGGAGTCATTTCTTAGTGAGCAAGTTGCATTCATTTTTAATAAGAATATGAAATAATGCGTATTTTAAATTATGTATAAATTATAATATTTCAGAGAATTAGAACATGTCTGTTTCATAACTATTTAATTAGGGTTTCCCCGAAGACGCTGCTAACATTTTGCACTAATGGTGTACTACTTCGCACGCTAATGGCAGGAGACAGCACACTATCAACTGTGACGCATGTTATTGTGGTAAGAACCCTTAGGTATTCATACAGAGTGACATTACAGAGTCCTTGACAACTTGAAATCAGGCTTTATTTTTTCTCATTAATTGTCTTTATATTATACTAGCCTCAAATATTCATGTCAGCTGAACAGAATATAAACAATGAATACTGTATTTGCTGCATTTGTAGTATGTATACTTATGTTTTTCTGCATTAAAAATGCTGCCTGCCAGTTTGAGCTCAGGTGGTGTTTGAAATTAATAGGAGTACACAGATGTATTGCAGGGAGGATAGAATCCTGAATTGTTTGCAACATCCTTTGGGGCTAAATACAGTAAGTCTTAGGACAGCTTATATAGTAACTGTGGAGTCTGATGAATCTATATCTGAATTCCATGTCTTGTGTTTCTATTTGCAGTCTAAATCAAAGCAACACTTCTATAAGTATTCTGTACTTCAAAATGATGAGCATTCTGGTCTTTATTCTGCAAATCACTTAAGCGTGTGATTTGTCCCATTGCAATTTGTGTGTGGTGATAGTGAGATATTTGTATGCTTACGGTTAAGTATGTATTTAAGAGCTTTTCTTCCTAGAGGCCAGAGAGCTCAGAACTAAGTTCTTAGTCATTTAGGTTACGTCTAGACTGCACTGTAAAATTGAAAAAAGATATGCAATTTGCGCTACACAAATTGCGTATTTTTTAATTTCATTTCGAAAGAGGCTATTTCGAAATTTGGCACAGCTACATGGCGCCAAATTTCGAAATAAAGTGCTCTTTCAAGCCATCCCTTATTTCTCATAGAATGAGATTTACAGGGATGGCGAAAGAATGTCCGTTAATTAAAAAAAAAATTCAAAATAGTGGACGCGTTCCTTGGACACAGCGTTGCTATTTTGGGATACTTCCGGTATCCCGAAATAGCAATGCAGTGTAGCTGTACCCTTAAAGAGCTCAGGATTTGTGATAATTTTAGCATCCTTCTCACTTGCAAGAACAGAGTTAAGTAGAACATTGTGTTAAATGCTTGTGGATCTCTTAAATTCATTATTTTGGGTTGTTGGAATCTGTAAGCAGGAGTTGGTATTAGTAGAAGTAATTGTAGTAGCACTACAGTAGTACTTAAAGGACTTCATTCAGGACCATGGCCCTATTTGTGCGAATTACTGCACAAACATATAGAAAAGTCCCTGAGCTAAGGAGCTTAAACTAATTATTTGTGTCTTGCTTCATATTATAAAAGAGAACAACAGAGGTAACAATCATAAGGACACATGGTTACATAGAGCAAGATATGTTCAGAATTTAGTAGTTCTGATTTATTTGACTTCTTAGAAAAAGTTACACAGTATATATACTTTGTACAGGTCAGCTATCTGTGACTAAATTATCTTTCATTGAAGATTGTGTGACTTTTGTTTGTATGTTCTTAAGGTAAATACTGATAAACTCTGAAAAGTTATTTTACAAAAATAAAATTATGGGGATCCTAGTTTGTCTCAGTGATTTCCAGATCAGATTCCTTTAGGGAGAAGGAGATGTTTTGCAACTGCCAGTCTGAACATGTAATTGAAGATCTGAAAATCTAGCTGTGTTTTGTGAATCATGCGTTATCTTTAATAATGAGATTTAGCAGCTGAATTTCTGGTCTGAAAGCTGTGGAAAAGCCTTTTTTTACAGCTTTTTTTTGCTTAACGCTATTAAAAAGGTATTCCCTTTTTGTCAAATACTTGTGTAACTTATTGGCCAACTGTACAGATTAGGAAAGGTACAGTTTTCCCAAACTTTCATCCTGAATCTGGGATTTGTCCTTTTTTCTGCTTATTACAGGATGAAGTACATGAGAGGGATCGATTCAGTGATTTCTTGCTAACAAAGTTAAGAGACATATTGCAAAAACAGACAACTCTGAAATTGATTCTTTCTAGTGCTGCCCTCGATGTGAATCTATTTATCAGATATTTTGGAAGCTGCCCAGTGATACACAGTAAGTCAAATAATTGTGTATGCACAAGTATTAAATCTCACAAATTTTAAAGACAAATTCTAGTTAGGAAAATAAAAGTATCACATTAAAACATAATGTAATTGAATAAAGGTTTATTTAATCAAGGATACTTAAGTAAATCAGAGTTGAAATGGTATTCTGATCTGCATTCCTTAAATTGCTGGATTTTGAAACATTTCTATAACCATTCCAGATTAGTGTATTTTACGGAAAATTTTTATATTTTTTTGTGTAGTTTAGTGGTAAAGGAATAAAGCAGGATATAAAAGACAAGAAAACAAGTCCAGCTTTATGCAGAGAAAATTAGAAGCAACTTTGAGTGGGTAATTCCTGCCATGTTGTATTGATAAGGTTTTAATCCAGACTTCCAAGTGTAAAAAATTTAGCTGGTTTTTGAGAGGAAATCCCAAAGTTTTATTTTTCTATGTAATTTATGGCCCGGGGAAGGAGGTGTAGGAGGGGGTGCAGGATCTGGGAAGGAGTGGTGACCTAAAGGAGGGGAGTATAGAGGGTTTGGGGAAGGAGAGGGTGGTGATCTGGGGAAGGGAGTTGCAGGGGAAGAACGGCCTGGGGTGCTAGAGGCAAGCTGTGGCCAGGAGGTGCTTACTTAGATGGCTCCCAGCCAGTAGCCCTAAGGCAGGCTCCCTGCCTGCTGCAGCTCCATGCTGCTTCCTGTGGCTTTCATCTCCAGGTGTTTGGGGGAGAGGGAGGCTTTGCATGAAATCTCTCAGTTTCCATTGGCCGGTTTTCCCCGGCACCCAGAGTAAAGTGGCATGTGAAGCAGCCAGCATCTTAAAGCAATGTGGAGTTGCTCTGAAGCAGCTGGCTGCTCTGTGCCTGAGGCTTCCAGCGAGGCAGCCCATGGGTTGGATCTGGCCCGCAGACCGTATCTTGCCCTCAAACTAGGACTATCCCATGAGGCCACTACTTCTTAATACAGGCAGTCCCCGGGTTACATGGATCCGACTTACATCGGATCCCTACTTACAAACTGGGTGAGGCAGCCCCGCACTAGCTGCTTTCCCCCAGCAGACCATGGAGAAGCGAAGCTAGCGTGCCTCCCAGCAGACCAGGGAGACGTGGAGCGGCTTTTCTCAGCAGACACCTCAGCTTGAGAATAAAGGACTGAGGGAAGTGAGAATAAAACTGAGCTCTGGAGAAATGTTTGGCTAGAGTTTCCCCTACAATATGTACCAGTTCCGACTTACATACAAATTCAACTTAAGAACAAACCTACAGTTCCTATCTTGTACGTAACCCGGGGACTGCCTGTATACTATTCTTTGAAAGTTCCCATTCTTGCAAGATCTCATATTTATCATAGTGGGCTTATAAATTGTTACTACACGTTATTAGCAGGGCTCGACAAACTATGTAATCTACAAGCCCGTGGCGAGTAGATTACAACCCGGAAGAGCTGGGTTCGGGCGATCTGCACATGTGCAGATCGCTGGACAGTGCGGCTGGCGGGTGGGGCTCGCCGCGGTTCGGCGAGCCCTGGTTATTAGAGTAGGAAGAGAATGTGTTAGGCCTGATTTATGGAGGGATAAACTCAGTTAGAAGGGGAAACAGTAACCATATTATCCTTCATCAATACAACGCATATAAAGGTATCATTGAACAATAAAAGCAGTCAGAAAAATTGAACTGCTTCCTGAATCAAAAAATGTTTGAGCTAACCCCAGTTTATTTGCATTCATAAGCAGGTGTCAGAGAGGTAGCCGTGTTAGCCGTGCAAAAGCGACAAGGAGTCCTATAGCACATTGTAGGCTAACAGATGTATTGGAGCATAAGTTTTTGTGGGCAAAGACCCTCTTTGTCAGATGCATGTACTGGAAATTTCCAGAGGCAGGTATAAAAATGCAGGGAAGAATCAGGCTAGAGATAACGAGGTAAATTCAGTCAGGGAGGATGAGGCCCACTTCTATCAGCTGATCTGGTGGTGTGAACACCAAGAGAGGAGAAACTGCTTTTGTAATTGGCTAGCCATTCACAGTCTTTGTTTAATCCTGAGCTGATGGTGTCAAATTTGCAGATGAACTGCAGCTCAGCAGTTTCTCTCTGAAGTTTGGTCTTGAAGTTTTTTTGCTGCAGGATGGCTACCTTTAAATCTGCTATTGTGTGTCCAGGGAGATTGAAGCGTTCTCCTACAGGTTTTTGTATATTTCCATTCCTAATATCGGATTTCTGTCGGTTTATTCTTTTGCGTAGGGACTGTCCAGTTTGGCCAGTGTATATAGCAGAGGAGTATTGCTGGCACATGATGGCGAATATTACATTGGTAGATGTGCAGGTGAATGAGCCAGTGATAGTGTGGCTTATCTAGTGAGGTCCTGTGATGGTGTCGCTGGTGTAGATATGTGGGCAGAGTTGGCACCAAGGTTTGTTGCAGGGATTGGTTCCTGAGTTAATTACTGTGGTGTGGTGCATAGTTGCTGGTGAGACTATGCTTCGGGTTGTCTGTGGGCGAGGACTGGCCTGCCTCCCAAGGCCTGTGTCCTAATCAGATATTAGGAATAGCAATATAACGTATTTTCCGGCGTATAAGGTTACTGGGCGTATAAGACGACCCCCTAATTTTTTAGTTAAAAGATAGGTTTTCGTCTTATACCCCAGCACCCCTCCGCCTCCCCGGCTTTGCTCCCGGTGTCCCTGGTCTGCTGGAGACGGTCCCCAGCAGACCAGAGGCACCAGG